CTATACAACAAATGCAACTCACAATTATTTGTTTAATTTATTTACAAAGTTTGGTTTTCATCCTAGGCCTCCGTGTAGATTCAGTAGTACACTTTAGATCCTTTCATGATTTCATACGTTAAATTCAGCTTAATCACAGAAAATACAAAAAAAAATCTAATAACCCTAAAGTAAAGTACTGAAGTACTGAACGAACAGACTGTTCTGCAGAGCAAAAAAAAAAAAAAATTAAATTAAAAAGTTTAAATTGGTACTAAAAATAAACCAGCAAAAAAATAAATAAACTCTTTTTGATAATTAAAAATTAAATCAGTTAATAACTTGAATTTTACACCAGAAGCTCCGGTGTCAGAATTAAATATATTTAACAAAAGCTGTTTTTACCACATCATAATTATTGACATGAGACCTGCTGGTGTTCTCCATGTGTTTTTCTATGTGACTTTTGATTGAGTTAGTGGTTCACAAACGTCAGTGTCTTGTAGGAAAATTCTGTCCAAAACAAATATTGTATATAGTGGTATATAGGCATATGGTTTAAATTTAGTCAATCTTTTATGAAGTACTCAAATATCTGTTTTGCCTTCTGTTCTCATGGGCAGACTGGTTTAAGGCTGTTTTCAAGAAATGTCAGTGTGCAGATCTTAGGCGAATAAAAGATTATGTTTGTTTTTCTTTCTTCCTGTTACACAACTATTTTTCATTCGGGACTCCAAAACAGTTCTGCAAAATAATAATAATTTTGGAAATTGTCCTGCAATTGGTTCAGTTAAAATTGTTGTTGTTTTTTTCAATAGATGTTCTTTTTCAGCGTTTCAGGCTCAATTTGTTTTTTCCCAGAAGACATCAAGATTCGGAACCATTGGTTCTATGGCACCAGATGAGTCTTTTTAAAAAACAAAGAAATGTTAAAAACTAATTGTTATGTGTCTAAAAGAGGGAACATATAATTTGATAAAACTCTGGATGGAAATGATCCTCATATTCAAAGATTTCTTTATTTGTTTCCTTTTATCATTTTCAGTGGTATGTATTTCACTCCTAGGCCTTCCGTGGTGTCCTGCCTGAGTTAATCCACATCTTAATGGCTTACGTCTATAGAAACCATCAATATTATGCAGAAATGTGGCATAACGAGTCATTACATCCTAGATAACCCATGTAGCCGTAACAACATCATTACTAAAGCAACAAACCCACGGAGCACGATTTAGCCACAGCTGTGACGTAACGATCGCTATGACGTATCTATCTATCTACCTATCTACCTACCTATCTACCTACCTACCTACCTACCTACCGACCTACCTACCTACCTACCTACCTACCTATCTATCTATCTATCTATCCTTCTATCTATTTATCGATCCTTCTATCTATCGATCGATCCTTCTATCTATTGATTGATCCTTCTATCTATTGATCGATCGATCCTTCTATCTATCGATCGATCCTTCTATCTATTGATTGATCCTTCTATCTATTGATCGATCGATCCTTCTATCTATCGATCTATCCTTCTATCTATCTATCTATCTATCTCTCTCTCTATCTATCTATCTATCTATCTGTCTATCTAATCTGTACAACTGAGTGTGTTGTATATTCATGCAGTTTTGGTTTCAGTTCTAAGTGGGTTTTGTGTGTTTTTTGTTTTTTTTTTTGGGGGGGGGGGTATTTTCCACCTCTTTGGTTCTGGTCCCGAAAGGCTTTGCACTTTCCAGGTTTCGACCATGCTGTGGTCATTAAGAAGAACCACGATCAAACTTAATTTAGAAGACAACTGTTAAAGGCTTTGCAGGTTTAAGAAGAACCACAATCAAACTTAATTTAGAAGACAACTGTTCTGTTTACCCAACCCAACCTCAGATGGAAGTAAGATCTGAAACGATAAAATGGTACAACTATACACAGGAAAACAAGCATCAACAGTATCAGCCCGCTTGTCTTCACATTGAGTAACTGTCATGGCAACAGAAGAGAACAAGAGCAAACAGGTAAACAAGAGGTATTTCCAAGCAGAAAAGAACGGTGGAGAGAGAAAAATACAGCAGTGAGGAGATTGAGGATTAACTTCAGGATTAAGATTGAAACAAGTCTGAGGAACAACCTGTGGTAGATATAGAAACTGAACAATGAAGAAGAAAAAAAGATAAAGGAATTAGGCAGCAAATAAATGAGTTGAAAAAAAAAACGAAGCTGCAATCAGAGAAATTAATACAATTAGAGTAAAAAAGATCAAAGAAGAAGGGGAAGACGGAATGTTCTTCTGCAAGGTCCGCGATGAACATGAGAAATTTAATTATCTCCATTTGTCTCCTGGTTTCTCCAACGTTTGTCTCTTTTTCTGGTGCTCTATCTTCTGCTCACCGTCGCTTATTTCTGTCGCAGACAGAGCAATATCGCAGATTCTGCCTTTGAGCAGCAAATGTATGTGGAACCACATTCTTCGTAACAGTATATTAAAGTGGAGAGATACACACCACCTAGTGGCCTGGTGTATGTACTACAGGGACCAGAGTTGTATACAGGGCTCCATTTAAGTGCTGAATTTTCTTGCTCCAGGTCCGTGTGATCAAGACAAGATCTATCTATCTATCTATTAGATATTCCGCAACTGGGAATATTTTATCACCGAAACAAAATGGCCGAAACAGGAAAGTGCCAACATGTCTGTGGTTGGGCGCATTATATCTGAGGAAGACCAACCGATAGCGTTTTTAAAACGTGTAATGCTGAAGTTTAAAAAATTCTAAGAGGGGATGCATCTGCAAAGAATTTCTCCACGTCTGGTTTAATTTATCACCTGAAATCCAAACATCCCGATCGCTATGCTGAACATGAGAGAAAGGGAAGCGAGTCTTGGCTGCTTACAGTGCCAACCAGGAGCTCCCTGTGCCATTCACTTCACACCAGTGGGTGTTAACAGAGAACATGCTCTCTCTTCTTGTCCGGTTTGAGCAGCTAACCAAAGAGACTAGCTCCTCTGATGAATCTGTACAAATGTTATTTCTTTATTCGCAACACTTCAGCGCCTTCTAAGCAAATAGGTTGAGACGGACCATAGAGTGATAACAATGAAAAGTCAACTCATAGAGTCTGTCGGCACACGTTTCACTGAGATCTATTCGGATCCTCTGCACTTTGTGGCGACTGTACTTGATCCGCGTTCTACAGATCATTACGTGGATGCGGGAATAAAACAGCGCACGTGAGAAATGATCCAGCGATTGACTTAAATGCACTTTGTGTTTTTAGGAGCATGAACATATTTAATTTTATAATCTTTCAGCAGGCCAGTAGGCCTGTACATTATCATTTAATGTGTATGGTCAAGTTTAACATTAACATTATGACTTTAAGGTTTCCTTATTTTTTACGGTTTTGATTTCGATGCATCACTACTGTCTATCTGATTGAGGTGCAGCACTAGGTACAAAGAGAAGATCCAGAAGCCAGAAGATAAATCACTGTGCTAATAGAGACCCACACACATACAGAAACACTAATCATCAGTGGATTAGAGGATAATAGAGGACAGTTGTCAGATGGTCTCTTTGGATTCAATGACAAACTCAGAAAACCTTAGACAAAACATCACTAACTCCTCCTCACACCACGTTTTCACACCAGCCTCATTGGTTGCCATAGGTTACGAGTCCTACATTAAGTGCTTCATTGTTCTCTCAGTGGCAGATGCCTGCTCCTTCTCCTCGCTCTCTCTCTCTCTCTCTCTCTCTCTCTCTAGTTATCTCGCTGTCAGAGCAGAGTGTGGGGAAAAAAAAACAAGCACCGACACCTTTAATGAAAAATAACTGATGTTTCTGTTCTACTGCCTGTTTTAAAAATTCATCATAACCAATGCCTTCTGTCTTGATCTGAGCCCTTTCTGCAGATACAAGTACAGATTATCTGGTGTAAACTTTGATTTTTCTTTTTCTTCATTTGTAACATCAAACAGCCGGAATATCAGTGCACTGCAGTAAGAATGAAGACACTTGTATTCTCATCACCTTTCATTTTAACTTTAGCTTCATGCACTTTATATTCTCCCCGGTAATGAGCAGCACTCACATCTCTGGCCTCTTTTGATCCTTTGTGACTCTTGTTTCCCCTTTATTGCACAGTTTTGATGTGAAAACACATACAAATCAGCACGGGCAGATTTACATGAAAACGTAGACACACTAATTTTCCAACTTCAGTTTTTATCATTAGAAGATTGAGAGTTTAGCCCTGGAATTGCCTAAAAGCGGAGAAGAAAATGTGTGAAAGAAGAAGTGTTGAAAGCATTTATTGAAGTCATTTATCTTCATACAAACATAAAACATTTTAGAAATCAATTAAGAAATAGAGAAATTGAGAGTAAATCTGCATTATTGTGAAATACATTTCTTTGGAAATGGTTTGTAATTGGAAGGTTGCTAGTTCCGATCCTTGACGTGTGTTGCAGAATCACCACAACTGCCCAGTTAACAACTAAAAAGTGCAGCCCACTGCACGGTAATCACAGGAGTGTTTCACGCATGAATTGAATTGAAGGAGGAATTTCCCCCCAAGGGAATAATACAATATTTAAATAATAAATCAAACATCTGCCGTTTTAGAGGGTTTTACTGAGAGATAAAGATTATTATACCGGTTATGGGCCTATAACTCGATTAAAGCTGTTGACAAATGTCAGGGAAAATAAAGTATTTCCTCATGTAAAAATAGAACAATAGTTTTTCTAGGCTTAGTTTTTGTGAGTGTTTTGGAGGGATGGGGAGGCTTTTAGTTTGTTAGTTCAGCCAGTCTCTATGAATATAAATTTAAATTGATAATACAGTCCCTCATTATGTTCTTAGTCGGTTCCTTCTGTTCCTTTATGACCTAAAAAATCAGAACAAATTTACTTTAATTTAAATTTTCGTTCACGCTCCTGTGTGCTCCTCAGACTCAGTTCTTTATGTCCTACTATAACTCCTCCATCTCTGTTTTTTTTTTTTTTGCCTCATCAGGTCCAGACTGGTACCTGGTCAGAGTGGACTTGACTGTGACTGATGTGAACGATAATACACCTGAATGGTCTATGGTTCCTGTTCCATACCTGGCTGTGGTTTCCACTGATGCCGCCGCAGGCTCTGTGGTCTACAAACTTCAGGCCGAGGACGGTGACGAGGGCAACAACGGTGAAGTGGAGTACTTCCTGTCAGAGGGTCAGTGATTGTTTTTATCTCTGTCCCTGGCTTTCACATGAATATTTTCTCAACATTCAGTTTTTATAGCACAGTAAGGTAAAGAAAAGATGGGTCAGAGGCAAGGACTCAGTATTCAGAGTATGACTCTAACCCTGGTGACCAAACTTTTTGAGTCACGGGCAATTCTCCTAAAAGAATAGATAGATAGAACAGGGGGGCCGAGTCAGGAGCAGATAGATGAAACGTTTGTGTGAACGATAATGACATGTAAAAGTCATGCATAAAGGCTAAAATGCTAAAATGTTTTTATCATTTTCTACGCCACCTTTCGGAGAAACGTGGGTATTGTGGAGAAAAGGCAGATGTATAATAAAATATAAATAAATTATATAATTTGGAAAAATTTGGCGGGCCGGATTAAAAGGCTGAACGGGCCACATCCGGCCCCTGGACCTTAGTTTGCCCATGCCTGCTCTGACCTCCTGATGTGATTACTGTTATCTTTTTTTATTGTTTTAGCCGTCATTGAGGTTTTTTTTTTCTATTCCTTTTCCTAACTCATAGCTAATATTTATCTATGTTAAATTTTGACACATTTGATCATATTGTAACTTTTATAAGGGCAAAAACTTTGCCTTTTATATATATATATTTTTCTAGCAATATGAGCGAAATGGCTCATTAGAAGGATTAAAGTTGTAAAGAATAGCAAATATTTTTTCCTCAACACTCCACAGCCAGTGAATGTCTGCAAACTTGTGTACAGGTGGAGATGGTCGTTTTGAAGTGGACAGGAAGAATGGCCACATTCGGACCACGGGTCTTCCTCTGCAGAGGGACAAAGAGTATCTGCTGACCGTGATAGCTGCTGACCGTCTGGGCAGCCGCAGCCCCCCCGCTGTAGTGTCTGTGGTGGCAGGAGCCCGACCTCCACAGTTCACCAACGCTTCCTTCACCATCGCTATACCAGAAAACACTCCTGAAGCACAGACGTAAGTTTACACATCACACAAGGAAATGATCGATCGACCTAATCTATTACTGAAGAATATCTAGTTTATCAGATTAGGCAACAGATCCACTGTGTGTCTCAATGGTGACACGGCAATGGTTCTCAAACTTTTTTGGTCGTCCCCGGCTTTGAACAAGTGAGGATTTTGAACCCCCACCTGCCCTTGTCGCTCAACATTTATTGAACAAACATTAAGTCATGTCATATTATATAATGAATCAAAACCAATAATGTCATATTACACACAAAGTTCATCATCACTTGAACCTTGAAAATATTTTCCTGTTTTGTCTCGACACCACTGCCCTTTCTACGTCCCCCACCAGTGGGACCTGGCCCACATTTTGAGTAGCACTCATCTGTGAACACTGATATAGTAAAGAAAACAGATTACCACGTTTTAACCCCTGTGTTGTCCTTTGGGTGACCCTGTGGCACGGCTTGTGCCAACTTTCCCTCATTCACTGATTCTGCAAACCCATTGCTAGGACTTTGTAGGGTTTTACAAAATGCGAAGGACAACGGGAGGGTTAGGGTGATGTTTCTGTGCACAGGCTCCTTGGCCTAGTTCAGACTGATATCCTTGGTTCCATTAACCCAGTTTTTACATCAGCAGCGTCTTCACGTCAATGACTTAGTAAAAAGAGAGGTGCTATATGAAACATAACATAGCTCTGTCCGCTTCCCCCCGACAATAATCAATCAATTTCACCGTTATCACAATATCTCTGGATCACTGTTTCTGTCTAAGAATCTATGCGACCCATATATCCTTTTTTTTAACAGTTTAAAGAGGAGGAAGTCCACTCCCGTAATTTCCGGACTATAAGCCAAAAGTGAAGGGAGTTAGCCCCGAAGCTAATGTTAGCTTCGGCCCTTGAGCAGATCACTAAGTCTCCGCTGTGCATTCCATCTACGGTTGGGGCGCCAAAGCAGGAAAGAACTAACGTGTAACCGGCCGTATTTCAGGCACTGTTTGGAAAAAAAAAAAAAAAAATTAAAAGGGAAAGAAAATATGAGCTAAATATAATGTGTTTTGACAGGTCTTTGCAAACAGACAAGTTTTGTTTATTGACATTTATTGACAACAACTGTTCCTAGGTCAAGGATAATGCAAATAAACAACAATCAAGTATGAAAATGCAAATATATTCTGTCCTCTGTCTTCACCGCTACTTTAATCGAACCTGACCTCTGACCTTCTGTCTCTGTCTCCAGTTTCCTGGTGACACCTGCTGTGTCCTTCCAGAAGAAACCCATAAGCTACAGCCTCCTTATCAATCCCAGCAGCCTCTTCTCCATCTCGGCAGAGACGGGTGAGATCTGCCTGACCCGGACCATTGACTATGAGAGTGACCAGCATCGGTACCTGCTACTGGTGAGAGCCAGCGAAGGTGTGGACAGTATGAGCAGCGCAGCAGAGGTTAGTGCTCCATTTCTATTTCTGCAACATCAGCTAATTTTTTTGCGGTACATTTTGTGTTACAACAATTCTGCTCCAAAAAGCAGGGCTGTCAGACTCCTTTTCAATAGTGGGCCACATTAGCTATACAGTTCCCCTTGAAGGGGCGGTTGTGATTGTATAGTATCTGTAACTGCTCCACTGCAATTGATTATTATTCATTCCAGTTACAAATATTGTACATTGCTGTGTGTAATACAAACATAATAAAATAAATTAGGAATCTCAGTAGCATGGACTTCAATATGAGGCAAATAAACATGTTTTGAGCTCCCGCAGGCCACACAAATCGACTTGGCGGGCCACATCTTGGCCCCCGTCCCTGTGTTGTTCACATTTTT